TAAGTGGAATTTCACTAAGCTTTAATTCAACTTGATCGATCATTAATGGAGAAACATTCCACCTATTAGGTGTGTAAGGACTTTCATTTTACCCAGGGTGACCTTGAACCTGGATCATCCTGATCTCTGCCTCCTAAATAGCTAGGATTACAGGTGTGAGCCACTGGCACCCTGCTCATGTTTATGTTTTGAATAAAAAGTTGGCTAGGGTATAGCTCTGTGGTAGTGTATACTTAGCATGCTTAAAGTCCTGAGTTCAGTGCCTGGTACAAAAAAAAATTGTCAAAATATTCTTTCAAGTTAACAATATAACAACCATTAGTCTACTTGGCAGTTTAGCCAGTGTCAAAAAGAGCCAAGAAAACAGATGTACTTTATGTGACTACTGTACCTTGTTCACCCTGAACTTGAAACTCTGTCCTTTACTATAACGAACTTATGAGCACTGACCACTCAGATGTGGGTTTTGTTTGTTTGTTTGTTTTTGTAGTACTGGGGATGAACACAGGGCCTTGGACATGCTGGGTAGGTACTCTCTACTACAGCAGCATATCCCAAACCCCTACTTGTTGGTTTCAGATCGGTCATTTAAGCAGTCTAATACTAGTATAAAATAAAGCCCACTTAACATCACTATAGCACAGGAATAACTACATAGTTCTGACATACAGCATAAGGATTTTATAACTACATCAACACATTTATTGAATGTCTACGTACCCAACGCAGTGATATAGCTTAAAAATGGGGGAGGGTAGATTGCTGCTATCAGCTTTTAAAAACACTATGTTGAAAGTCAAAATAATTCTAGATTACGAAGTAATTAAATAAGAACACAGAGAGAAGGGTGGGAGATGGCAGATTCATCATCTTCAACAGAGGAAAAGATGAGCCAAAAAACAACTGAAATTAACTTGAAAAAGATTCCTAAACTCAAAGCAGAAGATAATACCACCTGGCATATATTATTTTGCCTGATAGAAATATAATATGACTATAGTCAAATTCAACATAAAGTTTATGCAGAATCCAAAATTTAAATATCTATTTAGAGACTAAGGTCTGTCCAGAGCAATTTGATTTGAGACCAAAGAGATCTGGCATTTTACTTCTTCATTAAAGACTGGAAAAAGAGGACCTTTGGCTTTCTAACCAGCCATTTCATTCATGGCTTTTATGCCTGATGGCAGCCACGAGGAAATGTAAGCTGGGTATTTGGATACTTAAATATTATGTACAATCAATAGCTATAACCAGTGAAAATAATATCACAATTCAATGCAAGTGTCCAAGATAAGATAGAAAAAAAAGCAGAAAAAGTGCTTGAGTCTACAGGTCTTTCCTGACAGTTTCAAAAAAACTGTTTAACTCTTAAAGCAGGTAGGGATTTTAATATAATTTGCATAGCAGCTTAGAAGATAATTTGCATTAAAAAACATGGACAGATTCTTCCATGGTTTTGAAAACAAGTATGTCCACATGCATTTAAATTAAACAAGACCTAGAGTTTTTCCACAAATTTTAAGAAACCCATAACCTTTTCTCACACTTTTGTCCAACAAAACCACTTACAGCAAAATCTGTTTTGGGGAGAAACATAATCTTGTTTAGATTCCACACAGTTTAATTTTTTGTTTTTGGTGGGACTGGGATATTTGAGCCACTCCTCCAGTTCATTTTGCTCTGGTTATTTTGGAGATGGGGTCTTGCAACTCTTTGCAGGGGCTGGCCTTGAAGCACTACACTTCCAATCTCAACCTCCCAAGTAGCTAGGATTAGAGCCACTGGTGTGTGGCCAATTGTTTTTTTTTAAAAGAATAAATTTTGGTTTATCAGCCAATAAATTTTTAATCAGCTGAAAAGAGCTTTAACACCATATTCCTTAGGATGATAAGTTAAGAAAGCAAATAATCAGCAACAATGTTAGCTATTTGTTGACTACTTATAAAAAAAATAAACTCACTCTCTTCTGCCATGCAATAATTTCCACTAACAAAGTCTGTGAGAGTTCAGATGATAAAAACAGACATTATCAGACTTTCCCTAGTCTAAAAAGTGCTTAGACATGGATTTAAAGTAGGTGAATGGAAGTATTATTTTGGATTGACTGTCCATGTCCCAATATTTAACCTGAAACTGGCTACTAGGTGAGTGTACAGTTTAAATTATGTAATATACAGTATAAACATATATTTAAGTATTTCTTCATATAAAATATTAGATACTAATTTCCAAAAAAGGTTTGTTTGATGACTTCAGGAAAGAACCCACCTTAAAAAAAAGAAAAACCGAGTCTTTATCTCCTGTTTCTTTTCTTTTAATGGGGAGAAAGGAAATTTCAGGGAAAGGGGAGGATCATTTTCATACACAGACTGGCTGCTTACAGACTGTGTGGAAGGTGGAGGAGATGCCCGCTGCCCCACCGGACACAGGAAGTAGTCCTTCTGAATGGTGAGCACTACTCTGCAGTTTCCTTTCCATGCTGTTTATGGGAGCCTACAACATCCCTGTACCCTTCCTAATTCAAAATGAAAAGTAAATGAAAACTTAGCTGGTTCTATAAAAGAGGTGAGATATCAAAGATGCGCATTTTAAGTTACCATTTGAAAATAATTTGCCATATTTGGGCATTTAAATACAAAACAGGTACATATCAAGGTGTGCCCTATGTAAAAAGCACTTCATTTGTGGCTTGAAAATCCCATGAACATACTTAATTGAACAATAATTTTGACCACCCATGACTGGATGGCTGTTAAAGTATATAAAACAAGCAGAAGAGGGCTCTTGCTTTTGGAGCTGCTAGTGAACAAACCTTCCCTATACTTTCATTTCAAGTCAAGACTCCAATGACTTTATTAAACACCCTGTGGGCCTCAGTGCTACACATAACAATTTAAGTTTGAGTAAAATGAGCTGAAGTGGACACACGCCTTACCTCTTCTGCCCACATTGTAATCATGACTATCTTACAGATCTTCATGTTACTAATGAGAGTGTGCTCAGAATCTTCTCAGTGGCTTAGCCTTTCACATTAATACAGACAATTTCAACCAAATGGCTTTTAGTGCTGAAATCCGAATGTATCATTCAACTCCTCATCTTTATGTCCAAGCTCTCTTATCTGAGGTGATTATTTGTTGAAATTTTGCTTGCAGAAATCACAGTTGGGCTTTCAAAACATTTTCCTGAAATTGCAAATGTTCCTCAGATGGAACCAATCTTAGGTTTATGAATTTTCAAAATCAGAAAGCTCTTGAAAGATGTTCTTGTCTGGGTTTTAATTTCCAGTTTTAAGTGGATCATTCATTTTTGGAACTTCAACTTATGTGAAGCTGGAAAAGGGCAGCCATCCCTCCCCAGCCTTTGCATACAGTCTCACTGTACAGCGGAAGGAAGCTCAATACATGGGTAGGGAGGACAGTGGGGTTACAGTGTTTGCTCAGCATTTGCTCTCCTATCAGTCGGGTCAGTCTACACTCAAACCCACCAGCACAGGTTTTACATGTATGGTTGTGTTTTCATTCCTTTTCTCTCTCCACCCCATTTGGAGTGCCACCCACTGAAGTGCCCATATCCTCATGTAACACTCTGGATAAATCTAGAAAATGAAAACTATTCCTATATCTTTCGTCAGAGAACAGAGAAAACATCCAAATCAGTATTTCCTTTTGTTTTAAATCCAGGGACTGTGCTAATCTTGACACATTTTATAGGTGTACTATTTTAAACGTCTTCAGATATCTATAGATTTCCTTCAAAATTTGGAAAAACACACTGTGGGATTCTCCAAGACCACAAAATCAGCAATTTTATGTTACTGTGTCCTAATGACGACATCTGGTCATGCTGGACAAAATACAGGTAGCTGTGCCATGATCTCATCACCTGACCACTGAAAGGAGTGTTATGAAGCCAGTGCTGAGCCCTGAGCTGGCAGCCGCTTGTCCATGCCCACTCAGGGCTACAAAAGATGAGGGCCAGAGCCAGGATTCTGCATGAGCCCACACAGCCCAAAGCAACTCCGCAAGGCATTTGTGCTGAAAAGCTGGCTTCACCCACAAAATCTGGCTCTTCTGGATTTACCTTTTTCAAAGAGATCTGCCTAGAAAAGGAAACCCACGGCAAGGACTATTTCTCAAAGTTAGGAGAGATGATATCACTGAAATGGCAGTGATACCCAGTAATTTAAATAGTGACTAATAAAGCTCCACTAACCATAACCAAAGGCACATTTGGTAAGCAATACAAAATGGCTTAGCTTAAAATGAGGATTTTTCTTTCAAAATAAATCTTAGATCATCCCCTGGCTCCTAGCAAAGATAAAATCAGAAAAACCTAAAGCAAAACTTTTCTTCAAACTAGTGGTTTCCAACTTGCTTTTCAACTTGGTCACCACTATAAAGGAAGTGGAAGGTAAGACAAATCAAATTTTGCAAGTTATGAGTCCTAAAGGTAGCACTTATGAGTGACAAGCTGGTGATAAGGTGGGCAGTGGTGGGCAGGATGGGAAATGGTGAGAGCCAGGGCAGGTGGAAGAACCCTTTGGTGATACAACTCAAGGATGTCCTAGTGGGAAGGAACAAGTAAAGACAGTAAACTCCAACAGTGCACATGACCTGTCTGGAATGACCAAGAAGCAGTGGGCTAGCACCTGGGAGGGGACAGTTGTCCTAAATAAGAAATCAAGGCTAAACTTGAAACAAATCCTATAGGAAGAAGAAAAGAAAACCCCTCTTGGCTATTTGTCCCAAAAGAAAAACCAAGAGCCATTGTTTATAACAGGGAAAATAAACCTAATTACTCAGAAACCACATTTTGAAATGAGATGATACACCAACAGCTTCATTTTGGAGCTCATTAGAGTCCTAGAACTTCTGGCCAAGGTTGTTTGGGAAAGGTAGGCTTTTCTTTAAATCCAGTTATGGTTCAGCAGTGATTCGAAGGTCCTTGGGAAGGCACTGTACTGGAGGAGAGAGCAAAGAGCTTTCTTTTTGTGCTTTTTTTTTTTTTTTTGAGGTGGAAATACTTCTTGTGACAGTCAAGGCTTTTTTCTGCTGCTCATACAAGCAGTCCCATGCGAGTGACTTTGGCTGACAAGAATGTATGCAACACAAATACAATCGGTTTTGGACAAGAGTGCAGATCCATGGTCTGTGGAAGAAAGGACATTATTATCAAAACCATATACAGACACTTTTTTTATTTTAATTTTTTTGGTGGTACTGGGTTTGAACTCAGGACCTCACACTTGCCTAGTACTCTACCACTTGAGCCACTCTGCCAGCCCTTCTCTTGTAGTGGGTATTTCTGAGATCGGGTCTTGCAAACTATTTGCCTAGGCTGGACTCAAACCACAATCCTCCTGATCTCTGCCTTCTGAGTAGATGTACTTTTTAAAAAGAACTTGGATGTGTTGGGGGTGTAGCTCAATGGTAGAATATATGTTTAGCATGTATGAGGTTCTGGGTTTGGTCCCCAGCACCAAAAAAAAAAAAAAAAAAAAGTTGTGTAAAGAATATGCCAGAGCTATAGAAACTCTTGGGAACTTGAGGACACAAACAAAATGTATTAGGAAGTAAAGTTATTCCATTTCATGGCTTAAAACTGGTGTGAAGTTTCACATCCACAATTAGGACACACTTGAGGGTACTGGCTCCACCACGCCTGGTGGGAAAAAGCAAAGAGTAGAGTAAACTAAAGAACATTCTGTATGGAGACCATTATTTATAGCTGTATCTCCCAGGGAAAAGGACAGTGAACTGAGCTGAAGCATGATCATCTGTGGTTGAAATGACTTGGGCTAGTTATACCTTCAATCTGAACAGCTACTACCATATGAACCAGGAGATCTGGGGTCAGGTTGCCTGAGTCAAGTGGTTAGTCAATATTTGACAATAACAGAGACCAGAGGAAGATATAGTTAACTCTGCCTTTTAAAGAAAAACACAATCTTATTAGAAATATGAATTAATAGTATTAGTTTAGTCTCTAAATTCTGTACATACTAAATATAAAGCAAGGGTTAAAAACATAAATAGCTGAGCTGAGGACATGGCTCAAGTGGTAGAGAGCCTGCCTAGCAAGTACAAGACCCTAAATTCCAGCCCCAGTAGGAGAAGGAGGAAAGCAGGAGAGCAAACTGGTATATGGAAAATCAAGTGAAGTGAAGGTTATATTGAGAAGGAATAATCAAGTGTGTGTGTATGCCTATGTATATACATATAAAATATAAAGCCAAGAATAATCTAATACCTTGCTTGTTAAATGTAACTGAAATCAATACTAATTTAAAAGAGAATGATTTAACTCTCCTAAGGCCTTTGACTTCTGAAATCCCTAGTCCTGGTCTACCCATAGTCTTCTAAAAGTTATTATTATATCTTTTTTTATGAACTAAGGATCAAACCTAGGAACTCGTGCATGCTAAGTACTTGTCCTACCACTGAATTATAGCCCCCAATCTTAGGTTCCTCACTTAAAGTAGTATTGTCACCCAGTTTCTCATTTGGAGGTTAAACAACATTAGCTCTAAGATGCCTTTCAGTTCTAAAATACCAGGATTTGATGCTTCCAAATGCGTATCTATTGTGACCATGTTAAGGACATGAGATTTCATGTAGGATAAGACTTGAACTACTGGCTTAATACTGATGAGGAAAGAAAAGGTATTACTTTTCTCCTTTATCATAATTTATAATTTCTAAAGTATACCTAACAAATCTCTCTAGTTCTTCTAAAAGGAATCATGAGTTTTGTTTATTTCCTTTAAAGGATAACGAGGTCAAAAAATATGAAAGCTGGTGGATGTAAGTTTCTATTTACCTAACCAGCAGTTTCTGTAGTGACCAAGTCACTCTATTACTCAGCTCTTAATGCCACAAACTGCTGAAAATAGCAATGGATAGAATTGACGTGTCATAGTTTGCCAGCCTTAGTATTTTATATCTTATTTTTGATGAAACCTGATTCTATTTTTTTTCTATCATTCAAAGAAAACTTGGGGTGTTTTCTAATGTGGGAAAAAGAAAACAATAACAATAACAAAAACCCCAAACCAAAGCTATCTTGAAAACTGAAGAACAATTTCCTGGCTCCAATTGGACTGTCAAATATTAGGCCATAATTTCCTGTATATGAGGTAAAAGCCATGAGAAAGAAAGAATATATTACTGTAAATATGTTTTTCAGAAACATTCTTACCAGTTCTCCTTCAGGACCACCAAAATCCAGATAGAGATTTCTGATGCTATCATCAGCAGACATTTTCAGCCGTTCAAAGGGGTAGCGGTACAATATGCTGCTGGAGCCTCCATTTTCCCTGGAGATGGTGAACCCATTTTCATAGTGTACGTTGAATCTTACTTCTTGGCCATTTAAGGTGCAGCCTGTCAAAGGCAAGCAAACATTATTAGTAAAGTTCCTATATCACTTATTATGCAGAAAAGGATTCTTTCCTGGCTTCACAAAAGGAAAACTTTTCTTAATAATTTATGAGGCCTAACCTGGATGGAACCTTCTAAAGTAAGTTTTGTTTTGCTCACTGGAGTCAGCATTTTCACTGATTACAGTAAGTCTCCTTGACCTCTGATTCAACTCAATTGAGTATCAGTTAGACACACATGTGAACTGGCAAGTATGTATAAGCTGTCTGCCAGGCTGGAGAAACAACAGGCATTGTCCCTGCTCTCAAGGACGTTATAAATGCATAGGCCTGAATATGAAAATCACTAAATGTACAAGGTGGAAGGTATAGGACATAACTAACACCAAACTGAGTTAAGGCCAAAATCAAGAACAGACTGCTGAGAAGAAATGGGATTTCAGATAGGTCCTAAAGAATAGCCAAAATTGGACAGGCAGGAGGAATAGAAAGATTCAACTGGGAAGAAGAGGAACAAGCAATGGAGCAAAGGCAGAGATGCCTTTCAGGGGTAGTAACATGGTTTGGTTGATATCTAAGGCAAAGGTTATGTTCAGCAAAAGTTATGCAGTCAATCCTTTCAAAGATAATATTTAAAGGTACATCTGAACTGACAGGACACAAAAAACTTCAATCATCAAGACTGGTAAATATCTGGGTGCTGGTGGCTTACGCCTGCAATCCTACATACTCAGGAGGCAGAGATCAGGGGGATCAGGTTTGAAGCCAGCTGGGGCACATAGTTTGAGAGACCTTACCTCAAAAAATCCTTCACAAAAAAAAAAAAAAAAAAAAAAAAGACTGGCAAATGCCTCCAATCAAGACTGGTGAAGCCTGTTTTGTTGGCATTTGAGAAAAGATTCATTGCTAGTGCAGGGGCTACAAATAATAAACTCTCTGCGACTTGGAAAGTAGCGCAGATTTCTAAGAATTGAACTTCGGTTATCTAAGATGCCAGATGTTGTGGTCATGCCTGTATTCCAGAGACTAAAGACAAAAGGATTGTGAATTTCAGGCCAGAGCAGGCTACATAGTGAAACTGTCTCAAAAACAAAAGCCAGGCACAGGAGCTCATGCCTGTAATCCTAATTATTTGGGAATTTGAGATTTGGAGGACTGAGATTCAAGGCCAGCTTGGGCAAATAGTTCCAGAGAACCCATCTTCAAAATAACCAGAGCAAATCCTTATCTCAACTAGCAAAAACCCTTGGTCCTTCCTATTATTGCTTATACTATCTCTTCAACAAAATTAAGAGATAAGGGCAAAATAGTTTCTGCTGGGTATCGAGGGAGTGGGGGGGAGAGGGAGGGGGTGGGGGGGTGGGGGGTAGGGGAAGCGGGGAGAAATGACCCAAACATTGTATGCACAAATGCAAAATGGAATGGAGGTGTGGCTCAAGTGGTAGAGTACCTCCTTTGCAAGTATGAAGCCCTGAATTCAAGCCCTAGTCCCACAAAAAAAAAAAAAAAAGGTATATAGCTCTGGGGTGTAGGTATGGCTCAAGTTCAGAGCCTGGTGATTGTATGATGCGGGGGGAGCATGTGAACAAATCAGATTTGAAAGAACTGAGACCAGGAAGAGAAAAACCCTTCCCTTTCTCTTCTTTCCCCCCGCCCGACCCCCCACTTTTTTTCTTTTTGGTGGCACTGGAGCTTAAACTCAAGGCCTATACCTTGAGCCACTCCATCAGCCCTTTTTCTTGATGGGTTTTTTTTGGTATAGGGTCTCGTGAATTATTTGCCCAGGCTGGCTTTGAACCTCGATCCTCCTGATCTCTGCCTCCTGAGTAGCTAGGATTACAAGTGTGAGCCACTGGCACCTGGCCTTTTCCCTCTTTTTATTTAATATTTTACTGGTAACTTTCTAATAACTTCAACTTAGATCATCCCAACTGACACATTTAACCTTATTGATCATTCCTTTCCTTAAAATACTCTTCATTTGGCTTCCACAAAGTATCCCCACAAATCTGATTTTTTTCCCACTGCTCTGGCTACTACTTCTCAAATTCCTAAGTGGAGGGGACATTGGCTTTTTTCACACAATAGGGATACTGGGATTGTTTAATATAGAGATATACATCAAAGATTACTTTCTAAGCTGGGTGCTGGTGGTTCATGCCTACATCCTAGCTACTTGGGAGGCTGAGATTGGGAAGATTGTTGTTTGAGGCCAGTTAGGCAAATGGTTTTTATTTATTTATTTTTTTTGGTGGGACTGGGGTTTAAACTCAAGAGTTTTGTGCTTGCAAAGCAGGCACCCTATCACTTGATCCTCATACCATCCTCAGTCCATTTTGCTCTGGTTATCTTGAAGACAGGGTCTCTGGAACTATTTGCCCTGGGCTGGCCTCAAACCTCAATTCTCTTGATCTCAGCCTCCCAAGTAGCTAGGATTACAGGTGTGAGCCACTGGCACCTGACCAGGAAAATAGTTTTTGAGACTCATTTCCAAAATAACCAGAGCAAAATGGACTGGAGGTGTGGCTCAAGTGGTAGAGCACTTGTTTTCCAAGTGCAAAACCCTGAGTTCAAGCCCCAGTCCCACCAGAAAAAAAGATAACTATCTAAGAATCTCCCTAATATTAAAGAAATTTAATAAGAGGGAAGAAAAAGCTTATCAACTAGTAAATCAATCAGTATTACACCAAGATGACCATTGTAAATACAACCTACATTATCTACTTTGTGGGGTTTTTGGTTTTGTTTTTCAGTGCTGTGGATGGAACCCAGGGTCTTGCACTTGCTAGATAAGCATTCTACCCTGAGCTACAACCACAATTCTACTTTGTATCTTTTAAAATGGTAGACTGGTGGTGATTCCCAGGGTATCATGGAGGACAAAGACCTAATAGTGAAGTTTAATGCTGCAAATCCTGTGTCTACTGCTTTGGGACCAGTTACTTGGTAGGAGGACTCTGGGTTCCAGCCTTTCCAAAGAATCCCTGGCCCAACTCTTCAGCAGTCATAGGACTGTGTGTGTTACTCAGGGCTCCTCTGGGCACAACTTAGAAAGGAGTAGATCTGTCCAGGGCTGAGTCAGGGAAAGACTGGAGCCAGCCCATCAAGTATAATGAACGGGTTAATCACAGTCGGGGCTACACAGAACAAGACACTGTGTTCCTATAACTGCTTGATCAAGAGCATGAAGTAGGTTTTATTTACTTTTATTACTCTCATTATTAAGCAAAGCACTTGGTAAATATTAAAATACTCGGTAAATATTTGCTGATTTAATAAATTAAGAGTGACTGAGCCTGTTTGTTGTTTACGTTTTAACCTGGTTCTAAGAATAAGTCATCTTGAGAGGGGAATGCAGGGCTCTAAAGCACTGGTGTGGAGTCAGAAGAGACCTCAATTCAAGTCCCAGCACATGGACACTAGTTTTTGTTAAAATGAAAAACAAACTGGACATACTGTGTATGAAATAATTCCTCAAATACAGAGACAAGCCACAAGAGGGCGCTTCCACAACGGAAAAGGCACCAACTTTATCTCTTTTAAATGCTTATTTGAGTAAATGTAGAGAAAACATTTTCAAACTTTTGAAGAGAAACTCCTATTCCAAATCCTTCATTTTTCCATAGCCATAGCTTACCAATGCTCATATTTGAGGGAATCTAACCATAAATAATATTTCAAATCTTTTAAACTATTAATTCTTAGTAATCAAGTCCTTCACTATTAAGTGCATATCAAAAGGATGGACAGTAAAAATCCCATACTGTGCTAGGATGCTATGAATATGCTTAGAGCCAAGTGTTGGGCTTAGGAAAACTTTGCTTGTGAAACACAGACACCAGGTTTCTTTCTACCATCACCACCTTTTTTTTTTAGGGGAGGGGGACATTGAATTCAGGGCTTTGAGTTTACAAAGCACACGCTCTACCACATGAGCCACATCTCCAGTCCATTTTGGTATGGTTATTTTGGAGATGGGGTCTTGAAACTATTTGCCTGGGCTGGCCTTGAACTACAATCCTTCCCAGTGCTGGGATTACAGTCATTATACCACCTGGCGCTAGTTATACTTTATAATAAAATCTAACAGTTCCATTTGATTACTGTTAGAAATGAAAATGTCAGGCTAGGAATGGTGGCTCAAGCCTGTAATCCTAGTTACTTGCAAGGCTGAGATCAGGAGGATCTCAGTTTGAGGCCAGTCTGGGCAAAAAATTCAAAAGACCCCATCTCAACCAAAAAACTGGGTGTGGTGGTACACACCTGTAATCCCAACTACATAAGCAGCATAAAACAGGAGGATTATAGTTCAGACTAGTCTGGAAATAAATGAAAGCCCCTATTCCCCCCCCGCCAAATAACTAAAAGCAAAAAGGGAATGAGGGATGTCTCAAGTGATAGAGCACCTGCTGAGCAAGCTCAAAGCCCTGAGTTCAACCCCCTGTACCACAAAAAAGAAAGAAAGAAAGGTTACTATTTTTACCTAGGGAGACTTCCTTGATTAACTCAGCTGCAGCATGGCAACCCTGAACAAGTATCCTGGTCCACGTCGACAGATCCCGATGTGTTTCTACCCTGAAGAGATGCATCTCAATGCCCTGCCGAGAGCCCGTCCTGGTAGCAAAGGTAAGGTCAGATCCAAGGGAGGGCGACCGACATCCAGAGCCAGAATGAACCAACCTAGGACCACAAACAGAGCAGAGATCAAAAGTAATTATAGCATTATTGGAGGAAAATGCCAGGAATTTATGCTCATTGATAAACAGAAACCTATAAAAGCCCAGCAGTTTTTAGATAAGTACATTTCAGAGTAAATTTAAAAAAAAAAATCTTATTTGTGGTACTGGAGTTTGAACTTAGGGCTTCATGCTCACTAGGCTGGCACTCTCTCAGTTGAGCCATGCCTCCAGACCTTTTTGCTCTGGTTATTTTAGAGACAGGGTCTCACTTTTTGCTTGGGCCAGCCTATACCGCAATCCTATTTTATGCTTCCTGCTGTAGCTGGGATGACAGGTATGTGACACCACACCCAGCTATTATCTGAGATGGAATCTCAAGCTTTTTTGCCTGTGTTGGGCTCAAAACCTGATTCTGTTAATCTCAGCCTCCCAAGTAGCTAGGCTTACAGGTGTAAGCCACTGGCAACCAGCTTACAGTTTTTTGAAGTAGACACTATTGTCTTCCCATAGAATGACCCCTGGTGTTACAGCAAGACAGGATACTGACTTCATAAAGAAACTATCAACAGAAGGATGGATAAAGAAAAATTCAGCCATGTGTGATGGTGCATGCCAGTAATCCCAGCATTTGAGAGGCTGAGGTGGAAGGCTGCCCTAGGCTACATAGTGAGATTCTATATCAAATTAAAAAAAATAAGTACAAAAAGGGAAGAAAAATTCAATGTTATATTACATACAGTGAATATTATTTGGTCAAAAAAAGGGAAATCTTGTCATAATCCATGAGTGAGCCTTGAAGACATTATGTTAAGTGAAATAGCATATCACAAAAAGGTAAATACTGCATGATTCTACTTATACAAGATATCCATTTTATCACTGGCAATGATTACTATCAGTGTTTTCATTAAGTGACACTCATTTTCCTTCTTTCTCTCCCTTATTTATTTATTTGACAGTCTAAGTATCTCAGACTGGTCTTGCACTTGAGATACTCCTTCTCTATGTATCTCAAGTGTTGGGATTACAGATGTGATCAATCATACCTGGCACATTTTAATTATTTTAGAGAAAATGCCTATCAAATACTAAAGTCTGACAAACCACATTTTTGTCATTCTTTAATGGAAAAACTGGTGTTCCAAGAGAAAAACATGGAGCTCAGCAACTCAATCATATTGTGCTTTTCCTTAAAACAAGGATCAGATCATGTTTTAGTATGAAGCAGAGTTACTGTATTCTCTAGCTACTGTACTTCTCATTTCATCATTAAGAAGAATTACTAAGGGTCAATATGAAATAAAACCGGCCATTTTTACTACTTTAACAAAGATATCTTAAAGTTAAACTGGCATCATTCCCCTCCTCACTGTCCCCTGCGAGTCTGTGTGGGGAAGAACGTAATGACTATTTACATAGGTTGGTGCCAACTTCCCTGATGGACGCACAGGCACCAGCAGTTTTACTTATCCCCAGGACAAATATCAACACAGTGAAAAGAGACAAATAACATCTTAGTTTACAGATCCCCCAAAAAGGGGATCCCCCACAGGTATATACTTTGTGAACTGCTTTACTAAGCCAATTCCTATAGAACCAATATACCAATTTAACATGTGCTATCTCAGAAAGAGTTAAATACATTTCAGAATTACTCCACATATGATCCAAGAAAGATAAAGGAAAGTGACAGGATTATTCTACCACATTCAGTTTGATTGCTAATCCCAAATCAGACATTACAAAAAATAAAGTCAAGGGGAATTTTTCCTACAGATTTGATTATGAAATACTTGGCAAAGGGAATTAATTCGAACCAGCTGCAGGATTCCTGCTGAGCAGCAGTTGGTTAGGAGACATTGCCAAAAGGCCCCCTTTGGTGGGATGCAGATGAGCTCATGCAAAGGGCCTTAGCAGCTTTTGCCCACAGTCCCATATGTACAATACCACTCCATTTTCCACACTGCAAATGTTTTTCTTCATGTCTTTTTCTCTTCAAGTCAATGAAGGCTTATAGGAAAAGACTATAAAATCCACCACACCTATGCAACCAGTATATCTTCCCACCCATGTCATGTATCTGGTTTTAATTTCAATAAATGTACAATAAAATTTCCCTTTATTTATTACTGTAATGTTTTACTTAATTCCTCACTGGTCTGAAATATCAGTTGTTAAGAAAACACATGTGCACAGCTTTGGTTTCGAAGAAGCTGTAAATGTGTAATCCAATACAAACTTTAACTCCTGTTGATTTATACCAACCTAACAATGTTATCAGATTTTGAACTACAATTAATTCTTATCAGGATTTACTTTTGTATGTAGATTATCAAAATCCTTAGTATCTTTTTCTTTCCTATGTGTTTATACTACCTTTTATTCCTATTTATGCACTTATAAAAACATATTTTAGAGTATCTGAAATAAAAATACTGAGAAAGAACTGAATATTCAGTTCTTTCTCACTACTCATACAAATCTCAAACTCTTTTCCCTACATTAAGAAGACATGTACGCCACCTTGTGGTCTTGCCTCCCTCTACAGGATACCTCCTGGTCTGATTCCATCCTCTGGTCTCTCTCAGTGGCTACTTTACCTTCTCTGGTTGACAAAGGATGTTTAAACTCCACTTAATCATTCTATCATGCAGTGACTTCAACTAATTCCACCTGGTCATCACGGCCACATGGAAAAATTAAATCTCTCATCTGCCTGTCATCTTTGATCTTAATCTACTGGTACTTTCTGAACAAGGAGTCATGAATGCCTGCTGTTGTACTAATTAAGCTGATTAAGAAACAACATGTTCAGAAGTTATAAGATTCACACATTTAATTAATGGCCAGTTCAATTTGCACATCTAGGTTGATCCAAATAATACATGTGAATTCTTCACATTTAATACGAATGTTGAATACTTATAAGAACTTTCAGTAGAGTAACAATGGCCAAATTAAACCATTATCACACTTTTTACACAGACTCCTTTGACAAAATTTCATTAACTATAAATAATCATTATTACATTTAAAGCTTAGTAGTTACGATGTGTCCAGGAAGTTTGCAATTGTTAACTCATTTAACACTCACATTCACCCTTTTCCATTAGGGTCCACTTGACAAATGAAAACTCTGTGGTACAGAAAGGTTTAGTAACATGCTCCCAATTCTGTAAGTGATAGAATAAGAATTACAATTCAGTTTATTGTGGGTTGGTCTCAGTCCCTTCCATTAAATCTTGCTTTTGTTCGTTTTAATTATAACAGCTTTGAGAATAATTCACACACCATAAAAAATTTGGCCATTTAAGGTCAATGGTCTTTAGTATCTTCAGAGTTGTGCAACCATCACCACATTCCATTTTAGCAGATATTATCACCCCCAAAAGAAATCTTATGCCCATAAGCAGTCATTCCCTATTACACCCATCTTCTTTAACCACTAATATACTTGCATATTCTGGACATTTCATGTAGATAGCCTGATATGCTATGTGGTCTTGAAGCCCTCATGAGTACAGGGCCTGCTACTTGTCCAGGGGACCACAATTAGGGATAGATTTGACCTCACAGCCATCAAGGATGCCCTGTTTCGCAGCTATCATGTCTTCAAATTCATCTGCATTAAACTTGGTAAAGCTCTACTTTTGAGATGTGGATCTTCTGGTGGCCAGGGAACTTGAATTTGGCCCCACAGAGTTTCAATCACATGTTCTTTATTCTGTACTTTGGTATGGATGGACATGATTACTTGGCCAATTTGAACACTGGCCACTGTCCCCTGGTGACAGGGTAAGATCAGAGAACATCAACATTCACTGAAAAACTGTCTGCAAGGTCCCTAGGGAGCCCACACAAGCCAACAGGCTGCATACACTACTGAGGAGGCTGCTATTTACAACCACTGCATACGGGGCCCCCATGACTAAAGGAACCTTGTGGGCTTAATTGGCTGCAGAGAGTCTTTTGTGTCTGGCTTCTTTCATTTAGCATGTTGTCAAGGTTCATTCATACTGTAACATGAATCAGAACTATATTCGTTTTTATTGCTATAGGGTATTACACATTGTAGAGATACATCATATTTTGTTTATCCATTGATCAACTGATGGGCCACTTAAGAGTTGTTTCTATTTTTGGGCTATTGTAAATAATGCTGTTATTAACAAATTATATACACATTTCTGTGTAGACTTAAGTTTTCATTTCTCCATGAGACATAGGAGTAGAACTACTTCACAGTGACTCCATGTTTATTTAAACTGCCAAACTGTTTTCCATAGCAACTAGTCCCACCAACAGTGGATGAAGGTTCCATTTTCTCCACACATTTGCCTACACTTACTTATTATTATGTTTTGTTTCGTTTTGAAAGGGGTTCTTGTTATGTTGCCTGGTTGGTCTCAAACTCATACTTACATGCTCAAGTGATCCTCCTACTTCAGCATCCAAGTAGCTGGGACTATAGGTGTAAATTATATTTGGCTATTCCCACTCCCATTACTCCTCCCACTATGCCTTACTCTCCTCCTTCCCCCCATTTTTTAGGCAGGGTTTTATGATGTAACCCAGGTTGGCCTTAAACTTTGGATCCTGCTGCTTGAATCTGCTGGATTATAGGTACAAACCACCATTTTTTAAATTTATCTTTATTACTGAGTTCAAGAGTTCTTTATGTATCCTATATATATTCTAGATTCACTATATATTCTCTATATATTCTAGATACAAGTTTCTGATCAGACTTGGTTTTCAAATATTTTCTTCAATTCTGTGAACTCTTTTCTTTTTCAGTTTTTTTGGGGGTGGGGGTGGGGTGTAGTACTGCAGTTTGAAATCTAGGCCTTGCACTTGCCAGGCAGGCACACTACCACTTGAACCACACCTCCAGTCCTTTTTAGCTTTGCTATTTTTCAAATAGTATCTCATATTTATACCTGGGCTGGCCTGGACTGTAATCCTCCTTTTTTTAAAAAAAAATTTTTTTATTAGGATATATTCATTGTATAGGCAGGCGGGACTCATTGTGACAATTCCAAATATGCTTATATTATACATTGATTAGATTGCCCCACCATCTCTCCTTATTAACCCCCTCCCCACGATCCTCCTTTTATGCTTTCTGCATAGCTGGGATGACAGATACCTCCATCAAGCACAGCTTTTACTGATTGAGATGGGTTGTTGTAATCTTGTGCCCAGGTAGGCTTTGAACTGAGATCCTCCTGATCTCTTGAGCAGCTGGGATTACAGACTTGAGTCACCAAACCCAGTGGTGACTCAAGTTCTATTTAACTATTTCTTTTTCTTGTCACATGTCCTTTTGGTGTCATACCTAAGAAGGCTCTGCCTTAACTCAAGGTCATGAAGACCTATTCCTGTATTTTCTTCTAAGAATGTTGTAGTTTTAGCTCTTAAACTTTGTATCTTTTCTTTTGTTGCAAATGAATACCATACACATATAACTACCCCATTTCCTTCTTTAGTAACAAAGTGCTCTGATGATTCTGTCTAGTTTAGGGCCAGAAATTATTTGTTTATGGGACTGTAATTTCTAGCATTGAACAAAGGCTTATCTGCGGATGTTATAAATTTCTCCTCCATCCTTTTAGGGGCACATAGCTAAAGAAATATCTAAGCATAAAGCTACCCTCCTTGCATTCTGTCATTCAAGGTAGAGTAAGCTTTTTCCATAAGATTTAAATTTAAGAGCTTTCTAGCAATATTTCTAAATTCTCTAAATCTATGGAAAATATACATTTAATTGCTGTAATTATACCTACTGAAACATATTCATGTTTTTATAGGATTCCTGTCATGTGCCAAATGCAACGGTGACAGAATACAACAATTTAATTAATAGAACTTAGGAGGCCTACTATATCCAAAGCATTGTGGGAAGTGCTAAGATGATTAAATTATAGTTCCTGAGTTCAAGGTGGTTATAATTTAGTAAGTATAGAAAAACTGCAGAGAACTGATGCTTAAATCCAGTCTTCTGCCAGGCGCTGGTGGCTCACACCTATAATCCTAGCTACTCAGGAGGCAGAGATCAACAGGATGGCAGTTCGAAGCCAGTCTGGGCAAACAGTTTTGCAAGACCTTATTTCAAAAAATCCCATCACAAAAAAAGGGGGGTGTGGTGGGGAGGAGCTCAAGGTGTAGGCTCTGAGGTTCAAACCCCAGTACCACCAAAAAAAAAAAAAAAAAAGCAGTCTTCTGTAGGCATCTTCTACCCTGAAGGAATTAGGAGGGCATGCTTCCCTAACTCTGAAGCTCAAGAGATCTGTTGTCTCTATCCTGTCCTCTAGGACTTACAGTTATAAATTACAGAGATACTCCTGGAAAGCTACAAGGAAATTCTATTTTTATAAAAGGAATGATACCTCTAATGGAAGTTGGCAAGCTGAAGGAGATCCTATATAAAGTGAAAGTCTTCTTATAATGCAAGAATATCTTCCCTCACATGAATCTTTACTCAAAGCAAGAAATCCCCAGTGTTCTCTATGGAATATACCAGATGATTCCATCATTTTGCTCTTTGACTACCAAATACTTTTTTTGTGGAGGTTTTTTTTTTTTTTTGGTGGTACTGGGGATTGAACTCAAGGTGGCACACTTGCTAGGCAGATGCTCTACCACTTAAGCCATTTTGACAGCCTCTGTAGGGCTCTTTTTTAATGTACACTTTTTGAGTTATGTCAACACCTGATTTTTTTTTCTTTTCTGTTTTTTTTTGGTGGCACTGGGGTTTGAACTCAGGGCCTCACTCTTGCTAGGCAGGCACTCTACAACTTGAGCCACTCCACCAGCCCTTTTTTGCATTGGGTATTTTCAAGATAGGGTCTTGTGAACTACTTGCCTGGGCTGGCTTTGAATCTTGATCCTCCTGATCTCTGCTTCCCAAGTAGCTAGGATTATAGGCATAAGCCATTGGCACCCAGTCTTTTACTTTTCTTTTTTGAGACAGGGTTTTCCTATGTAGTTCAGATGAGCCTGGAACTCACTATGTACCCTGGACTGTTCTTGACTAATGATCCTCCTGCCTCAGCCTCCCAAGTGCTAGGATTATGGGCATGACCCACTGGGCTCATTCTTTTTTAAGTCCGAGTGAATTGAATTTGAATATGCTTTCTAGTTTTATAGTTATTATCCCTTAAGATACCCTGGCCCCTCAAATTTAAATTTCTCTGTTCTTTTCCCTTCCAAATTCCACATCTGGCACGTTGAAACTTTCTGTTGCTTCATGTCAAATCAATATTTAGTTGATGGAATCAAAACTATCTGCACTTACATTAGAAAGAGAAGTGAAAGAATATTTTGGTTAAGTTGTGCAGTTTATCCACAGTACCACATTCTGGTTTAAGTGATTTCATCACCACGTCAAAAGAACGCCACAATTTCGGTGGTTTTCTGGTCATGGTCAATAAAATAAAGAAAAAAACCAAAATTCTATTATCTTAATGACTAAGCAAGTCTTGAAGGGAATGGTTAGGATGTTGCTTCAACAATTTAGAAAGTATACACAAAAAAACTAGTGACAGAAACAATTTATTCTGTGCTAGGAGCTGTACAATGATCAATAGATTGTGAAAAAAAAAAGGTTCTGTCTACATTGACTACATTGGCTACTTAAATGTGATTTTAGGCACTGAAAATAGTAGCACTCACTTTAAAATTCTTTAGTAGATTCATAGTAGACTTTTTGTTTGTCTTTAGTCTTACCTTGTGGCAACAAGAGGGTAGCTATGACATGGCGAGGCCCAAGCATCTCTTGTCCATGGCATACAGTCATAAAGCAGCAAGTCCTTCTCAGTCACAGCCATGAGGACAGGTCTCCACTGTTGTCTTCCACCATCCAGTTTTGCCTGTTACAATGGTGAAATCCACAATCAGAGTTAACTTTAATGATATGTCTTTGTAAAAGTTCTTTCAGTGATAGCCTAACATAGTCAGTCTCCATTTGTTTCCCCATCCTAACAGGTAGGAAGCATCCTATCAGGTTGCTTCCCACTAGTAAGAATTCTCCACTGGGAGATGTGAGGCACTGTGTATATTTGACAAAGCTTATCCTCATGAAGTTACAGACATTATCTAGTGATATGACATAGTTTTTTCCCATTCTGTAATAATTATAGTATCACCAGTCTTAATTAAGTACATAGTAATAGGTTCAAAATGATAATAGTTTCAGTATAACTAGTGTATAACATTTGAGAAACACCTTTTAAGTGCAGGACAGAAACACCTGCTATCTACTCTTACTAGTTGGATAGGAAAACTTCCAGTCAAATAAGTCTGTGGACTCTAAACAGTAATGTTTTATAAATATTTTGGATCAAGACCTATATATAGTAAGAAATACATTTTGAATTGCAATTCAATACACACATACATTTATTACTGTTTTCAATATTTTCCAATATATTCTGGGACCGTATTCCCAAATACCATAACTCTGAATTTCATGCAATGTACTTGGATAATTTCTATTCTGTTTTTCTTAAATGCTGATCATGATCTACTATGCTTTACTTTGGAAAATATTGATATAAAAGCTCCCCATTATATGTTAGGAAGTGTTTATTTCAGAATCAAATGTATCATTTCATTTACTTGCATAAAGCTCAGTTATCTATGCAAATGTAGGAAAGCAACTACTGTTATCTATATTGTCAAGGATGCAAGGCCAAAAACCAAAAGACCATGTTCAAGAAAAGCCCTGTCCCTCATCATCAAAACTTTGCCCTTCTTCTGAGGCCTCTGTGCACTGTACTCTAACACTGATTCTTCAGTTCATTGTCACCAATTGCTTCTAGGAAAATTTAAATAGATGAATCACTTGTGTCTTAGACAGTTGTCTTCACAACCACCTTTCACTTTTTTTTCCAGTTTAAGAAAATATTTTAATTACTTATTACCTTTTGTACTACTCTGCTCAACAAATGGTCAATGGTTTTCAGTGAATCGAGGAGAATACTCATATACTGATACAAAATAATAATGAATTAAAAATCATTCCTTTAACTAATCTTATAAAAATTTAAATAGGCTTTGGGTGTGTTTGTGCTACTTTTGTTTCCTAACTCAAAAGAATACAATTATTTTTGTTATACTGACTTTCATTTGCATCTCAATTTTAAAAGACATTATTTATACTGCAGTTCCAAGTTCAGAGTAGAATGTGCAGAGTTCCCATATACCTTCTGCCCTGAATACACATAACTTCCCTCACTATCAAAATCCCACACCACAGTGGGATATTTATTCAATTTGATGAGTCCATGCTGGCATCTCATTATTACCCTTACTTAATTTTCCTTCCTAGCACTTAGAAATAGGTGATATATTTTATGATTACTGGTGCTTTTGTTCTTGATCTTTCTCAGATCATTGGATAAAGATATTGTAGATCATTACAGAATTTCCAGGCTGTTGATACATGACTGTGTCAAGGGTGGCTAGGACTAAAATGTAACCGCAGGAATCACCTGACCTTCACTGGGTAAAACAAACACAGAACAGAAGCTTAAAACATACACTAAAGGAAAAAGTCCATCTGGCTAAGCAGTCATGGTATCAGATGTAAATTCAATTCTCACTATGAAACAAGGGCTACAGGTAAAGGTAACTGGACCCACCTTTCACTTTCTTTAAAACTTCTGAAGGTAATTTGGACATGACAAAAGACTTTAAGCATAAATTTATAATCTGCAAGTGATCTGAGTGGTTTGGTTCTGTGATATAACATCTCCCATTGTCTCTTTTCTCCTATCCAGAGCCCCAAGCTAATTCCAGGGGTGGGAAACAAATTTTGGCTAGTAAAAGGACCCATGTTTTACCATGTGCTGAAAGTCACAAAAAAGCATGCTCTGACTCAAGAATTCAAGCAAAGTATTGTAGAAATAGTTACACCTTTTTTTAAAATTAATTTATTCACATGTGCGTACACTGGGTCATTTCTTCCCCTAGTTACAGGGTCATTTCTCCCCCTAGTTACACCTTTCTTATCAGTGAATCCTAGCTTTCTAAGACTTTAATCTAATCTATGGGTAACTGCAATATCTGAGCGAGAGTATCAGCTCTAAAGAGGTTTTCTTAGATTATTACATTTTTGGATCATAGATACCTCAAAAGAATTTCTAGATTAGGTTTACTACTAAGTCTTTGTCTCAAATTGTTATGGGAAATATATCAATAGGGGAAACAATGTAAAATTTATCTTTCCACAGGGTTAAAATGATAATCTGACATAAAAATGAACTTTTCTCCTAAGTTACTAGAAAGAGATTTTGAAGCTAGACCAAGAGTATATGCAGTTGGAAAAATCTAAATTAAATGCATTTCTTCCCAAAGATGCTATTCTGGGCCCTACAGGAAAAATGCTAACATCAACAGAAGCAATGTCCAATCTCAAGAGAGAGAAGAGTTTTTTGTTGTTTGTTTTCTGTTTTTTTTTTTTTTTTTTGGGTGGTACTGAGGTTTGAACTCAGGGCTTTGCACTCAGAAGACAGGTGTTCTATTACTTAAGCCATGCCTCCAGCCCAAGAATTTTTTTTTAATTAATAATTTTAATATGTTTATTCTTTTTCTTTTGTTTTTGTTTTTTTAAAAATTCATTTATTCACATGTGCATATATTGTTTGGGTCATTTCTCCCCCCACCCCCGTCACCATCCTCTCTCGCTTCCAGGCAGAACCTGTTCTGCCCTTGTCTCTAATTTTGTTGAAGAGAAGACATAAGCAATAATAAGAAAGACAAAGTGTTTGTGTTTATTCTTGAACTCCTTTTAAGTTCTTAGTTTTTAGAGAATATCTTTCCCCTTTTCTACTTATCTCAGGAAAAAAATGAAACTCAATTTTTGTCATTCTGTTTGCCTATGTGCCTTACTATAAGTATAATGTACTTAAGTAGAGTCAAAATGCTGCATGCTATATATAGTATGTGTTTTTGGCTGTGGTATCAGCACAAGCAGCCTTGGGGCTCCATTACTGAGTTTTTGGCTAGAGAAAAAAGGGAGACTAATGTTAGGGTTTCAGTTTGCTTATGTTCAACACCCACACATACATACACCTGGCTAAACAACAGCCTTCTCCGAATTTTATTTCCTAATAAACAGAGTTGGACAGCACTAAAGATGAAAGAATACTAAGCTATTATTCATTCTCTAAATCCCTTAATCCTCTTTTTGAGAGGTACTTCTGTTCCTTGTTTTATTATTATAGCAGAAAACAGAAAAAACTAAATATTTATTTTTATTTAGTATATCTGTTCCTAGTTTTGAGTCTTTATGCAATTTGCAGTTTATTAGGGACAAAGTTAAGAATTATTGAAACAAAGCTTTTCTTTGGCTGTCTTTCCCCTTTTTTTTTTTTTTTTGCAGTACTGGGGTTTGAACTCAGGGCCTACACCTTGAGCCATTCATTCCACCAGCCCTTTTTTGTGATGGTTTTTTCAAGATAGGGTCTCACGAATTATTTGCCCAGGCTGGCTTCGAACCATAATCTTCCTGTTCCCTGCCTGCTACTAAGTAGCTAGGATTACAGGCGTGAGCCACCAGCACGTGGCTGTCTTGCCTTTCTTATCAATACCAAAATGCTTAAAAATCCTGATTTTATAGGAAGTACATGTTCTCCATTTGGTGAACTCAAAGACAATTCCCTTTTAAGAATATAACCACACTGGCAGAATGGCTCAAGTGGTAGAGTGCCTGCTTAGCAAGCATGAGACCCTGAGTTCAAACACTAGTACTGAAAAAAATAATACATATATACATATATATATATATATATATATATATACACACACACATAAATAAATAAAGATAGATAGATGCTAGATAGATAACCATGGAACTCGTGTAGAGGTTGCTGACCTAGCATGTGTGACAGGTCCTGGGTTCAACCACCCATCCCTAAAGGCAAAAGATCTGAAATGAAGACATACAAATGGTCAAGAGACTAATGAAAAAATGCTCACTATTTCTAATCATCAGGAAAATGCAAAACAGAACCACACAGAATATCATGTCACTTTCTGTTAAATTGGCTATTATCAAAAAGATGAAAGATGGTAAATATTGGAAAAGATGTGGAGAAAAGGGAACCCTTGTGTATTATTAACTGAAATGTAAATTAGTTTAGCCATTATGGAAAACAGTGTGGGGTCCTCAAAAATAGAATTACCACTTCTGGGTATATACACAAAGAGTTTTTTTTTTTAAATGGGGTGGGTGTCTCATTGTTGACTGGGCTGGTCTTGAATTCATAATCCTCCTGCCTTAGTCTCTTGACAAACTGGGATTTTTTTGTTCTTGTTTTTTTGAGTTTTAACTCAGACCCTCACTCTTGCAAGGCAAGTACTCTTACTGCTTGAGCCACTCTGCCATCCCTTTTTTTGTGAAGGGTTTTTTTTGAGACAGGGTATCCAGAACTATTTGCCCAGGGCCAGCCTCATCCTCCTGATCTCTGCCTCCTAAGTAGTTAGGATTACAGGCTTGGGCTATCAGCGCCTCGGTAGAGAAGGTGGATTAAAGACACATATCACTGCACTCATCTTACCCCATCTGTCAGAGACATATCTGCAGGTCCATGTTTACTGCAGCATTATCCACAATAGTCAGGATATGGAATCAACCTAAGTGTCCATCAATGGATGAATGGATAAAAAAGTGGAATAAATACACAATGGAATACTACTTAGCCCTAAGAAAGAACAAAATACTATCACTTACAAAAACATGGAAGAACCTGAAAGACAGCTAAGTGAAATATGCCAGGTACAGAGACAAGTATCATATGTTCTCAATTAGAATAGAATCTTAAAGAGTTGATTTCCTAGATGTAAAGTAGAATGGTGGTTATTGGAG